AAACATATAAAAAAAAAAATATATGTTTAAAAATTGTAATTTTTGGTTATAAACTAATTTTGCTTTTTTTTTTTTTACAAAAAAAAGATAACGGAATAAATTTTGGCCAAGATTTATGATAAAATATTATTTATTTGCAAAATTTTATAAGAAAAAACACTTTTTTTCAAAATTTTTGGACTTTTTCATTTACATAGCAAAAAAAAATAAAAATCCCAGTGGTGAATAAATACCACCAAAATAAAGCTTTATCTGTCTCAAAAAAATGGTAAAAAAATTCATATGGGTACAAAGTTGCATGACTGCGCAATTGTCATTCAAAATGTCATAGCGCTGAAAGCTGAAAATTGCCCTGGACAGGAAGGGGGTAAAAGTGTCCGGACAGGAAGTGGTTAAAAAAATTGCCCGGAAACCAGAAGTGATATCGCTCCAATCCTCCAAGGGCATAGAGATGTGTGGCGGCCATCTTTTCTTCTCTCATCTCTATGCCCAACGACAGGGATCGATGGTTTCTCAGGTAAGACTGAACTACCGTGGCGGCTGCGGGCGGGCGATGGTGAGGGGCGAGGTTTTTTTGGCACCTGTATCGGTGCTTTTTTTTTTTCCATTTCAGCCGACAGCCGAAAAGGGGTGTTTTCGGCCAAAACATTTCGACAACCGGAATTTCGATGCATCCCTATATAAAAAAACATGTCCAATAAAAATGTTTTAAAAATCAAAATTTCATCATACAGTCAGGTCCATAAATATTGGGACATGGACACAATTCTACCATTTTTGGCTCTATACACCCACCACAATGGATTTGAAATGAAACGAACAAGATGTGCTTTAACTGCAAACTGTCAGCTTTAAATTGAGCGTATTTACATCCAAATCAGGTGAACGGTGTAGGAATTACAACTGTTTGCATATGTGCCTCCCACTTGTTAAGGGACCAAAAGTAATGGGACAATTGGCTTCTCAGCTGTTCCATGGCCAGGTGTGTGTTATTCCCTCATTATCCCCAATTACAATGAGCAGATAAAAGGTCCAGAGTTCATTTCAAGTGTGCTATTTGCATTTGGAATCTGTAGCTGTCAACTCTCAAGATGAGATCCAAAGAGCTGTCACTATCAGTGAAGCAAGCCATCATTAGGCTGAAAAAACAAAACAAACCCATCAGAGAGATAGCAAAAACATTAGGCGTGGCCAAAACAACTGTTTGGAACATTCTTAAAAAGAAGTAACACACCGGTGAGCTCAGCAACACCAAAAGACCCGGAAGACCACGGAAAACAACTGTGGTGGATGACAGAAGAATTCTTTCCCTGGTGAAGAAAACACCCTTCACAACAGTTGGCCAGATCAAGAACACTCTCCAGGAGGTAGGTGTATGTGTGTCAAAGTCAACAATCAAGAGAAGACTTCACCAGAGTGAATAGAGAGGGTTCACCACAAGATGTAAACCATTGGTGAGCCTCAAAAACAGGAAGGCCAGATTAGAGTTTGCCAAATGACATCTAAAAAAGCCTTCACAGTTCTGGAACAACATCCTATGGACAGATGAGACCAAGATCAACTTGTACCAGAGTGATGGGAAGAGAAGAGTATGGAGAAGGAAAGGAACTGCTCATGATCCTAAGCATACCACCTCATCAGTGAAGCATGGTGGTGGTAGTGTCATGGCGTGGGCATGTATGGCTGCCAATGGAACTGGTTCTCTTGTATTTATTGATGATGTGACTGCTGACAAAAGCAGCAGGATGAATTCTGAAGTGTTTCGGGAATATTATCTGCTCATATTCAGCCAAATGCTTCAGAACTCATTGGACGCTTCACAGTGCAGATGGACAATGACCCAAAGCATACTGCAAAAGCAACCAAAGAGTTTTTTAAGGGAAAGAAGTGGAATGTTATGCAATGGCCAAGTCAATCACCTGACCTGAATCCGATTGAGCATGCATTTCACTTGCTGAAGACAAAACTGAAGGGAAAATGCCCCAAGAACAAGCAGGAACTGAAGACAGTTGCAGTAGAGGCCTGGCAGAGCATCACCAGGGATGAAACCCAGCGTCTGGTGATGTCTATGCGTTCCAGACTTCAGGTTGTAATTGACTGCAAAGGATTTGCAACCAAGTATTAAAAAGTGAAAGTTTGATTTTTGATTATTATTCTGTCCCATTACTTTTTGGTCCCTTAACAAGTGGGAGGCACATATGCAAACTGTTGTAATTCCCTACACCGTTCACCTGATTTGGATGTAAATACCCTCAAATTAAAGCTGATAGTCTGCAGTTAAAGCACATCTTGTTTGTTTCATTTCAAATCCATTGTGGTGGTATATAGAGCCAAAATTGTTAGAATTGTGTCCATGTCCCAATATTTATGGACCTGACTGTAAATTTAGGCCAAAATGTATTCTGCTCCATGTCTTTGCTAAAACAAAATCCCAATACGTGTAAATTAATTGGTTTACTTGAAAGTTGTAGCGTCTACAAATGGCGGTATAGATACTGGAATTTTAAGAAGGCAGGAAGCGCTTTCAAACCAACTGCAAGCAAAAACTTCATTTTCTGCACCAAAGCAAATTGCATTTTCAGCCTACATGATGTGATTCCTGGGTGAGTTCCCAACCCACGTAAAGCGGTTTTCACATTGATCCGTTTTTCTTCCGCTTTTGCGTTAAAAAAAGCCGAAGAAAAAAACCGTGTGACCATATGGAACTCTTCACACTGATTAGTTGCGAGTCCGGTGCGTTTTTTTTTTTTCAAAGTCCTGCTTGCTGCATTTTTGGTGTAGGTTTGCTGCGGTAACAAAAAAAAAAAAAACACATCAAAAGCACACCACTCATTGAGATCAACTGAAAACATGGCAACAATTGCATCAAAAACACACTTGTGTTGCATTTTTGGTGCGGTTTTTGAGCCACATGTCCGCTAACACTGTAAAAACGCATAAGCTTTTGCCACGGATCAGTGTTAAAGTAGCCTAATACATGGTGCAGAAAAAAAGTTAAAATAATGCTGAAAAACTGCATGTGAACGGGAACTGCTTTGTTTTTATCTTTTTGGGCTGCCATTTTCCTGTTTGATTGCAAAACGTTTCAAACGCAGGTGTTTTATGAACGTTTTTGAAGCTCCGGGAACACCTGTCCAAATTAGCACTTCTGCCTGGCAGTACTAGGGTTGTTGGTTCGAATCCCAACCACTGCACCACCTGCTTGGAGTTTGCATGTTCTCCCTGTGCCTGTGTGGGTTTCCTGTGGGTAATCCGGTTTTCTCCCACACTACAAAGACATGCTGATAAGTTAATTGGCTCCTGTCTTAATTGGCCCTAGTATGTGTATGTATGGATGCAGGGGCGGACTGACAACTCATGGGGCCACTGGGCAATAGGGGATCATGGGCCCCTGTGTCCTTGCCCAAACTCAAAAAAGCCTATGAAAAAGGTACCAGGGGCATCTCATGGGGGCCTCTACTGACCCCGGGCAGTGCCCAAGTTTCCAAATGGTCAGTCCACCCCTGTATGGATGTGAGTTAGGGACCTTAGATTGTACGCCCCTTGATGTAAAGTGCTGCGTAAATTGACAGCGCTATATAACTACCTGAAATAAATAAAATAAATAATAAATTGTGTACATTGCAGTGGCCAGTGTTGTTCACACGATAGCATTAGTGCCCCTTCATATCACATGTCATTTGGCAAGCTTTAGGGCTCATTTACAGTTGTTGGAGGGTTGGTAAAACCCAGCAGCTCGGAAGTGTTTTTACCGCCCTTCAACTGCTGCTGAGACAGCGGCCAGGGCAATGATGCCTTGCTCTGCAGCTGCGGCAGGAATTCTACCCATGCCAAGTGCAAAGCATTCAAGTGAATGGAGCTGCACTGCAATCGTGCACGATGCATGGAGCTGTCTGGTATTTTGGGGGTTGAATCAGGTGGTGATACAACACCTCTCCACTGCCTGTCAAATGCTCTCTGAAGAGCAACCCGAACGCAGATAGCTCTTCAGTGGGCCAAGCAAATATAAATGGGCCTCCTTTACGCCTGCTTTGCTGTTTGAAGCACAATCAACATTCGGCAGCGATAGACCGGTGGTGACGAGGCGTTCTCTCACCTCTATTAACCCCCTAAATACCAGACAAAACCACCCTGGAACCATGAGCCTTGTGCAGGATTCCAGCACTTCCATATTCACTTGACTGGGTTACGCTTGGTGGCGGTACCGTCTGCCGCGATAATCCCTGCCGTGGCCATGAAGCGAAGCGAAGCATCGCACCCATTGCATGTGTACACCCCCCACTACTGCCACAGTAGCAAAAGAGGAAGCAGTTGGGGAGGGGCAGTAAACATGCCGCTCAGTGTGGTTTTACTGCCCCCCAATTGCAAAGGCGTCTGGAAAGTGTAATGCAAACGTGTTAAAAACGCGTCAAAAATATCAAAATGTGTCAAATATATCAAAACTGCATCAAATACATTAAAACTGCGTCAAATACATCAAAATGCGTCAAATACATCAAAACCGCATCAAATACATCAAAATGCGTCAAATACATCAAAACCGCGTCAAATACATCAAAATGCGTCAAATACATCAAAACCGCGTCAAATACATCAAAACCGCGTCAAATACATCAAAACCGCATCAAATACGTCAAAATGCATCAAAAATATAAAATGCGTCAAATACATCAAAACCGCGTCATAACACAATAGGGGCATCATTGTGTTGAAATGTCAGAGTAGGTGGAAGTGAGGCCTTGCTGGGCACAGGGGGGGCAGATCTCTGCACTGCACAGGGACAATCACCCCAGCAGCACAACTCATGCAGCCATCCATCATAACAGCCCTGACTGGCCCTCTGCAGTGTGAATGTATCTAACTACTCAAAAGAGGAAAAGTCACTTCCTGTTTCCATCAATGACGTCACTGCCCACAGAATGACCTGGCACTACACCCTGACAGACCCTATACCAGGACCGACACACACCCGGATGATGCCACCACACGAAAGCACTTACTCTCTCCGACCACCGCCTTCAGCCCAGTCGGAGCCATGTCGTCTTATCCAAACACCAGCACCGGCGACTACAGTCCCCCGAAACTTCGGCCACTTCCGCGTGCTGACGTCACGGGAGCTCGTGACATCACGGGAGGAGCAGGAAACCCGTTGTCAAGGGGCGGGCTTCTGGTCGCTGGGAGGCGACCGCAACGAACCAATGACACCCAGCCATTTGCTAGAGCCCGTTCCAGATGGTTTGAGGCGTAGTCAAGCGAGTGGAAACATTGTTCGATTGGCTGCAATGTACGGTCGGGGAGGAGTCCGTGGAATGGGCGTTGTACATTGCTGTCAAGATAGCTCTTATTGGTTGCTATGGGCGTTGCGGAAGGGCGTTGGTTGCAAAGGGGTTGAACTGAGGGCGGATGCAGTAACGTTAGGCGACGTTACTGGCTAGACTTCACTGACGTAACCAGCGGGAAATACAACTGATAGGTTCCATAGGCGGAAGCAAGTAGGGAAAGCTGACAGGGTATGCTTCTGCTCTCCCACAAATGGAGCTTTCGGTATTGGATCGCTTGTGCGGTTTTAATTTTTTTGCGCTATAAACAAAAAAAGGCCGACAATATAAAAAAAATATATATTTTTGACTTTTTGCTATAAAACATGTCCAATAACATTTTTTAAAATGTATTCTGCTCCATATCTTTGCTAAAACAAAATCCCAATACGTGTAAATTAGTTGGTTTATGTCAGTTATAGCGTCTACAAATGGCGGTATAGACACTGGAATTTTTATTTTTATTATACTAGTAATGGCAGCGATCTGCAACTTATAGCGGGACTGCGGCGGGTATTCTGACACTGGGGAGGGGGAACTGACTGTCACTGACATCCCCAGTGGCACCAATACAGTGATCAGTGCTAATAAAAAGCACTGACACTACTAATGGCACTGGGCAGAAAGAGCTTACAGAAACCAGAGATGTTACAGTCTGCTCAGATCGTACATAAAAGAGGTTCCAGCGTCAAAATAAAAATCAAAGGGGAAAGAGGGCATCTCTGACGCATTCCATTGCTGATTGGAGAAAAGGTAGATCTAGTTTCATTAATTTTGACAGATGCTGAGTATAAAGAGGTAATCCAGCGAAACATGGATGTACCAATCCCAATATGGGCCAAACTTGCGTGCATGAACTCAGTTTACCCAGTCGAACGCCTTCACGGCGTCGGTAGAAAGCAAAATAAGTGGAGTGGAAGCACTACTAGCAACATGAATCATGTTAAGAACACGTAAGGTGTCGTCCCATGGTTCCCAAAGCAGAATGAAGCATGCCTGGTCCCTTTGGATGAGGTTGGGGATGTGAGGCAACAGCCTTTTGGACAAGATTTTCGCAAACAGTTTCAAGTCAGTATTCAAAAATGCGATAGGGCGGTAGCTACCGCAATGTGATGGGTCTTTATCTTCCTTCGGAATCAGAGAAATGTAGGCCCTGAGAGCATCCGGAGGTATAGGCTGTCTCTTCTCCAGGGAGTTGTAAGCCAGCACCATATGGGGGGAAAGTAGGTCAAAGAAGGTCTTATAATACAATGCCGTCAGACCATCTGGACCCGGAGCTTTCCTGGGTTTGGAGAGGGAAAGCGCCACCCCCCAGTTACTCTACTGAGATAGGGGCTTCCACGTCCTGGCGAGTGGAGGGGGGAAGGGTGGGCATACCAGACACAGATATATACGAAAGTATCACTTGCTGCATATCTCGAGGAATCTCCTGTGCACCGTCCGAGGAAATATACAGTTTCTGGAAAAACGTAAAAAATTCTCTGACCATAGAGTCCGAGTTGAAGAGTTTCTGTCCAGTCACCGACTTAATATGAGATATAAAGGCATGAAGGCGAGTGCAGCGAAGAGCCCAGGCCAGTAGAGAACCTGGTTTGCTGGAATACTCATACGCGGTGCAGTGGGACCAAGCCAATTTTTTTTAACCTTGTGAAAGAGAAGAGAATTCAATTCCTCTCTGGTCTTCAAAATATCCTGATAGGTCACCCTGGCAATACTGGCCTTATGAGCGCCTTCCAGCCGTCGGAGTTGGGCCAATAAAATGTCAATTTGAGAGGAGCGCTCTTTTTAAAGTTTAGCCGCAATTGCCCTCAGAGTACCCTGGAGAACAGGCTTATGGGCCTCCTAAAGCACGTAGGGGTTGGCAACCGAGTCGGCATTTAGGGAGAAATACTCTCTGATAGAGTGTTCCAGAGTCGACTTAATCTCAGGGGACTTAAGCAGGGCTTCATTTAAACGCCAGGAAGGAGGACTATGGAGAGCAGGCCCTATCTGCAACTCTAGGAATACAGGGGCATGGTCCGAAAAAGTTATATTACCAATACTTGTCGACTGAATGCTGGGAAGATCTTTTTGTTGGACAAAAAGGTAATCTAAACTGGAGTACGTTTGATGGACTGCAGAGTAGTAACAATAGCTCTTCACAGTGGGGTGGGATATATGCCAGGGGTCGACCAGATGTAGCAAATGGAGTTCGGCTTTCAACCGTTTAAGACAGGAAAAAGAGAGATGAGAGTAGACCCTGGAGACAACCAGGAGTGGTTCCAGTGCGAAGTTGAGGTCACCATCAAAAGTCAAGGAGCCCTCCATAAAGTCTAACAACACTGGGAGCAAACCCCTCAAAAGGGCAAATGGTTCACATTAGGGAAGTAGACATTAGCAAAGGTCACTGTAAAGTGACCAATCTTACCCTTGACAAGCAGATAACGACCCAACGGGTCCTGTCACACCCCATAGAGAGACCAAGGGACCGTTGTGGCTAGTAAGATACTAACCCCTTTTGATTTGGAGATGGGAGATGGACTGTGGTATACCATCAGAAAATCTCGATTAAAGAGTCTAGGGACATGGTTGACCTGAAAATGGGTTTCTTGTATAAACGCCACCTGTGTCTTACTTTTTTTCAAATCCAGGAGAAGTCTGGAACGCTTCTCCGGGACACTCAGGCCCCTGACATTAAAAGAGGCAATTTTCAATGTGCCCATTGTATACGAAGTGCTGGAAGAAACAGAAGAAAAGAGGGGCACCCTGGGAGGGGGGAACAAAGGGAAAAGAAAAAAAAAATAAACAGAGCAAAAGGGAGAACGGAAACAGAGACATCAGCAAAGGAGATACGGGGAACAGAAGAATAGGAAGAAGAGATTAGTAAGGAGGGAGAGAAGAGGGAGGAAGGGGGAGAAAGATGAGGAGAAAAAGGAGTGGTGTGGAGGGGGAAAGGATGGAATAAAAAGGGAATGAGAGAAAAAAAAAACATAAACAGACCAAAGAGAGAGAAAGAAGGGAGGGAGTAGGGAGGGGTTTCCCGGGAGTAAAAAATGGATACAGACTATATAGAAAACGCCAGGGAGAAGAAGGAAGGTACAGAAGGGGGGGGGGATATAAGGGGTGGGAGAGTGAGAGTAACAAACTAATAGAGGTTATCCCAGAAACTTCTGTCGGGGTGAACAAGAGTACACCCTTTGGGGTAGGCCCCGAGGTGGACTGACAACTCATGGGGCCCCCGGGCAATAGGGGATCATGGGGCCCCTGTGTCCTTGCCCAAACTCCAAAAAGCCTATGAAAAAGGTACCAGGGACATCTCATGGGGCTCCCTACTGACCCCGGGCCCTCGGGCAGTGACCGAGTTTCCAAATGGTCAGTTCGCCCCTGGGTAGGCCCTATGGGGGGGTAGTAGAAAGACTAGGAAACACGAGAGAGGACAGATGCTCGGGTGAGTCTGCCCAGACTATTAACTGAAAGTAAATGCATCAGAGGCTCAAAAATTGCAACATTATCAATCTGACATAGAAGAAGCAAACATGCAACATGGAAGAATAATAAGAGGATACCCCACATCTGTGTCACCCATAAAGACAGGGGAGACACACACTCACATGGCAGCGAGAAGCGGCCGACCAGAGAGTCCCATGACCCCCCAAAGACAAGCACCAGAGGATGAAACTGCCGGGCATAATCCAGGGATCAAGGGGATCATAGCCACGAGACTCCCCAGCTGGGCACTGCCCACCAAAAATAGGCAAAGGTTAAAAACAACACACTTGCCACACCATTAATAATAAAATATATGAACAATAACAACAGCCAGAGTACGACCGTCAGGGAGGGCTCAATTATAGGAGACCATCTTTCCATATGTAGTCATAAAAGGCACTGCACGATAGGCAGAGGGCAAGACGGGCCCGATCCAAATGAGGGTCGACCCCCCCATGCAACCAATTACCTAAGCGAGGTATGGTCCCAGCATGGAAAGGGTAGGAAAATCCTAAAATCAATGGGTAAAATACCAGCCACATTCTCAGAAAAGAGAGAGGTAGGCCCCCAATCACGAACAGGGACCGGGAGTAGAGTTCACATGAAGCAGTCCCCGGGGGCCTGGAGGCTGCAGATGTCATCATCAATCCTCTGTGACAGATGGGGAATGTCTAGGTGGTTCATGACTTGGAGCTCTGGAGTGATTCCGGCAGATACGTTGCAGACGTGGAGGTGGTAGACTGGAAGATGAGGTCCACAGAAAGGAATCTAGCCAATTTGAAACTTCCACCACAGACTGTTCCAAGAAGTCAAACAACGCTGGCAGTTGGTCAGGAGAATGTAGAAAGTAGGACGCTCCTTGTTTAACCACAATCAAATGAAAGGGGTAACTCCAACTGTAAGTGGCACTGAGTCCCGGATAATGTCGAAAAGTGGATGCAGCATACCCCTCATTTGACGGGTCATGTGGGATACATCAGGGTATATGTGAACTGCTGCGCCATCAAAGTCTTCCCAGCCTTTTGACCAGGCTTGTCTTAGGATCTCCTCCTTGATAGCAAAGAAGTGCACTCTGCACAGTACATCTCTTGGAAGGGCAGCAGAGGTGTTGTTCCCAGAGGGCCGCAGGCCTCCCACACGGTGAACAAGATCCAGCTCCAAGTCTACGGTGGGGGGTCTACCCGACACCTGATTAAGAATGACAGTCACTGTTGGGCGGAGGTCTACGCCCGCTGTGGCCTCCGGTATACC